AGTAGTAACTACAGGCTGAATCTCTGGTTGGTCAGGACTGGATCAAGAGCAGGTTTTCAGACAGAGGTTTTTCAGTAGCTTCCTTTAGGCAGAAAGAGTGAGCCTATTACAATAATGAGGTCTATATCTTCTCTTACTACTTAACATCTGTCCCATCTTGACAGACTTGAGGATGACTACACAGGCATTTGGGCCATTGTTCCACTGTTGAGGGATCTAAATTATAGTGTTTATAGTTTGTTACTCTTTGTTAAGGATGTTGGAAGTCTTTGGGTCTGAGACCCAACTCTGAGTCTTTGGGTGCAAATCCTGTGTCTGAGTCTCAAGTCATTTGCGCCACCCACCGGGGAGGGCACATGTGCAGAGACAGCAGGCCTGGAAGGGAATCAAGGTGGGCACATTCTCATAGACCGTGCATGCACCAGCTTATGAGCTTAGAAAATTTCAAGAATTGTTTGCTTTAAATAAAATTTATTAGTCCTTTCCCTTATTTAGAGCAGCAAGTTAATCTTCCAGTTTGGTCAGAGGAGTGGGGTGTTTTGACTGTTTGGAAGTATTGTCCATTTTGTCTCAACTAACTGTTGAGTGTTTCTCTTAGATTGGTGGCTACTTGGTTCATCTGGGCAGGCAGCTGTTAAACTAACTGCAAAGGTAAGGGCTGGTATAGCAGATTGCTACTCTACCTGTTAGATTACCATGTAGAAAAAAGAGAACCCATTGGAAGGTATGTCTTCTGCCAATGATAAAGCCTTGTTAGATAAATTGGTTGCTATTATAGTAGTTTTGTGTATTTAAATATTGCTGCCTTTACAAATTGAGTGATGTGTGGGATGCAAGAGGATATGGAGTTTACCGGTAAAGATGCAGACTTTGTGAATTTGGAAGGCTTCTATCCCACTCCTGCAATATCACTTGATTCTGTATGATAAGACCAGGGACAAAGCATGTTTGACATAAGAATAGAACTATTAGCATTGAATATCATAGAAACTTGATTTTAATGAGTTTATTAGGCTTCTTCTTTGATGAACTACTTCACACTTGCAAGTCTAGTTTGACAAAACTAGCAATCCTGTGTTGATGCGGATTGATTTTTCTATTTCAGTTAGGTGTTTGAACTGGCATTGCAAAATGTTTGGCTGTTAGCTTAACTTCAAGACTAAAAAATGTGTAAACTTGATTGCCTTGGTTCAATTCCATCTATTTCTCTGAAAAGAAGGTGGGTTTTTTCCCCCATCCTTACCCAAGTTTCATTTTTATCTTGCAACACATAGTTTTCATTAACTGAATGCTTCAGATGGAGTGCTTTGACTGTTACAAGATAGCCATCTTGGCTGATACCTAATTAGGCTGTAGACCCTTGGGAAATCGTGTAGGATTAAGGATATCCACTGTTTAGACAAGATGGATATTACAGTATTGGGGTGATCTATTTAACAGGGACATGTTGTACTCATTTCAGATGCTTCAGGATAAATTCACGAGCAGCCAAGATCAATGTTTTTTTTTACCTGCAACTTAGATCAATTATTTGGAATCTTTTTGGTAAGTTTAATTTAATGGATGTAACTTAACCACAACCAGTTGCCTAATGTATGCTGTAGTAAAATGAGCCCTGCAGTTAATGTGTCCACTAAAGGTGAGGCCCCTATGGCCTTCCATAGGCTGATGGACACCAACTTCCTGACAAAGGGTCAAAAAAAGAGAATGTAGTCTAATAGCAGCTAGAAGGCTACAGATTACCCACCCTTGCTGTATAGATGTTACTTTCCTTGTACTGAGGTCGACTTTTATGAAGTTGCAAGTGCCAGAGGTGAAGCTGTGTTTATCAGGAAGAGCAGCTTGTCACAAAGGATTGTGGCTGTTCATTATACTACAGTCTTTGTATGGAAGAATCTCACAAGCCAGAGCATAAATATTGGTGTTTACTTGTAATCTGCAGAACTACAGAGCTTCTTTGAAATTGTTTATATCCTTTTCATGTAGTGATTTTGAGACTTTCTACCTTCACAGAATCCTTTCTGTATTGATGTGCCTACCTCACAATCCACATATTTTTCAGAGAGTTCCATGCTGTGTTTTTGTGCATATGATTCTTAAAGCCTGCTGGCCAGGCCTGTTGAGCCCAACCATTTGGCTCCTGTGAATTGAAAAGATACACAACACTTTCCTAAAGGTGCTCACTGAAGGGGAAGATCTGTGGTACTGAGCAAGGTGCTTTCTCATCTCCTGAAAAATATTGCCAGGATCTCCCAGAAGGCAGTTAGAAAACCACAGTTTTGCCATTCTGGAGGATCACTTTTATTAATGTTTTCTGTTTCAAAGTCGTGGCTCATATGAGCAAAACTGTATATAACCTTTAAGAATGTTTAGGAATTCTTTGAGTTTTCTGTCTTTTGTGCTTTGATAATTCCTTGAATTTTATTTGCATCCTAAAGGTCAAGAATTTCAGCGAATAAAAATAGAAAATATGTCAGCTTGTCTGCATGTAATATAGTGCTATTTATGTAGTGTTAACCTAAGACATCCTTGTATATTGCTGATAATTAATATACATTAGTGACTGAGTGACAGAGATACAACTCCTGTGCCATGAGCTCAACAGGTGGCCTTAGGCAATGCAAACTCACAGTTTCATCCTACCAGTCGCAATATGAGGAAAATAATATTGACCTGTCATACAGGGCAGTTATAAGGATGGCAAGAACGAGATGTGTGTGCAGTGCTTTGCACACATTGAAGTGCTACAAGAATGCTGAGTAACATAAACCAGTGTGCTGAGAGATGTTCAAAATTTGCTTTGTTGAGAAAAAAGAAAACAATTTGTCTATCTAGCTTTGGTGGACATAGATGGATAGATGTTGCTGCTGTATTTCTGTCGTACCTTCTGCTAAAATCAGTTACAAAGGAAACTCTCACTCCTGTTGTACTTATTTTGCTGTTTGCTGGTGATGTAGCAGGATTTTCTAGTTCCAGAAATCTTACAGCAAGATTAGAAACCAATAGGCAAAAGAACTCCAATGCCTGAACTCAGAAAAAGGGAGTATCCCCATAGTGAAGCCCTTTAAATACCAGTAGGCTGTAATCATTTAAAAGTTCCTTAATTACTATCTCAACATAGCTGGAAAAAAGGTCAGTTTGGCTTTTATTAACATTAAACAGTGGCTTTTCTTCATATACAAACACTCCAATAAGTATTCTTTGTGCATGTGGAGGTGGGGAGATTGAATTTTACCGGGCTTTCCACAAATCATTTGTTGATCTGTCTTGAAGGTCTGCCTAAAGTTTTCTGAAAAATAAAATCCCAGTGTTGGAAAATCAAGATAATTCAGTTCAGCGCAGGGTGTACAGAGAGGGAAAACTGTAAACCTATTAAATTAAAATACAGTTATTTAAATTCCTGAAAAACCACTGAGATTATCACTATTTGGCTGATACTGGAAATAAAGCTATACATAAGCAAAATCACAGACTTATCTGCCCCTTGAGGTATGTGTTGGTGTGATCCTCAGCCAGATTTAAAATTGCCATTATGTTCAAGCAGACTTGCCTTTAAGTGCTAAAGAAAGTATCTTCAAATGTACATTTGAAAGGACATTACATCTATACTTTCTTACATAGTTAAAAATCTGGTATTACAGATAACTTTATAAAAACAATCATTTTTTCAAAGCTGTAATTATGGATATACTTTAACATTTGTACAGTACATTTTGCATTTCCTTGAAAGGGATATGTAAGACAGAGAAATCAAGAGGGCTGTGTTGGATTCCCTTTCAGAGCCTACTTGTAAGCTTGTGGGTCCTGTATTCATACAAAATATTGATAATGAGACAATTAATTGTTATGTTCAGCTATTTTCTTAAAATTATTTTCTTGTGTTGTTGTAAACATCCACCCAGATGTAAAATATTGACAACATGTTCCTATGCCGTCCTTTATGTGCAGATTTGGAAGGGGGAGAGTTTAAAATAGAAACTCTTTCAGTTCAAAAAATCCTCATTCCATTATCAGCTTGCTCCAGATTCCTTTGAGTTTTGAGCTGGCTTCAGGAGCACTTTCCGCTCTCATTACTAGCCAGCCTTTCTGTGGGTTTACCTACCCCCTTCTAAGCCATGAAACAAAACACCTTAATTTCCCCAAAAGGCAAGGAGCAATGCTTGGTTTGCAGGGACAGCAGAAGTTGCTTCCAAAACTTTATCCAGGAACATTGGGCCTTTAGTCACCATAGCGTCCTGATTCAGTTTGGGAAGCAGAGCATTTCAGGCCCCACGCTTGCTGGCAGAAAATGATTAATGTCCTTGAGAACATGATTTTTGTGTAGGAACAGGGTGGTGAAACCACTCCTGGGTTGCCTCCATTGCCATATGCATTCCTGTTCTTAAAGACAGGAATCTTATTTTTGCTTTGGGTGTTGTGGAAAGTCTGGAAAAGGGAGGGTGAGCACACTCTACTCATGCTTTTGAAAAGAGTGTCTTGAAAAACCCTGGTGGTTTTGACTTGGAGGGAAAATGAGTTTTGAGGTAAGCCAAGACAAATCTTCATAAATTTTCTGTGCAAAAGTTAGGAAAAAATGTCCTCCAGTATTCACTGATGTAGGTCACGGGTGGGTAACCTGTAGTCCTAGGGTTGCATATGGCCCTTGGCCCAATTTCAAAAGCAATCTGTTCAGACTCTGGAAAGAACAATCTGTCCATTCCTCATCAGCCTATTCAGTGGGAATGAAAAGGAAGAAGAGTATGTGAGTGATGTGCCACAACAAGAGAGAAAAGGAGATTACATTGGCTGCTGCTGTCTCCAGTTCCACTCCCTGTTGGCATAGAGACCCCAAAAATTGCCCTGAAGGAATGTTTCCCACAGGAAAAAGGTTGCCCACTCCTGTTGTAGCTGTTTGTCACTGAAATTCATTTTAAAGTTATTCTGTGAAGCATTTCTTAAAAGATGTATTGAAACATTGCTAGTGACACATTTGTGATCTTTACTCCCATCCCTCCCATTAGGTTACTTACTTTCTAGAAGAGAGGGACAAGCAGGATCACCTGAAAAGCCACTCTCTGATCTGGGCCGTGTCTCCTATTTGGCCTATTGGAAAAGTGTCATATTGGAGTATCTTTATGGCCATCATGAGAAACAGATCAGCATCAAAGGACTGAGTCGAGCAACTGGAATGTGCCCTCATGACATTGCCACCACCCTGCAGCAGCACAGCATGATAGACAGGAGAGAAGAAAAGTCAGTAAACCTTGCTTTGCTTTGCTGTCTTCCGATTTGCATTTTATAGCCTGTTTGTCCACTTGAGGTGCTGTTACACGTATTTTTCTTGTGTTTCATCTTCCTTTTATCTCATAAGAAGGATCCATACAAAAGGTAAAGCATATCATTGGCTCTCTAGAGATGGGAAGGAATTTTGGATTGAGAGAAGTTCTTTGATCAGGTTTGCATAGGCAGGAAGAAGCATGGAAAACTCAGAGTGGGGAGAGACTTTGCCCAGTTGCTCTCCAAAATTGCCTGGAGCCTCTTCAGCCTGAGCAACCTCCAGAGTAAAACAGCAAGACAAAAGTATTTAGAGCAGGGATGAGGAACCTACGGTCCTCCAACCCTGAATTTGAGTAACATGACTTTCTTTGGGCCATCTGTGATATCTGATGGGATAGCAAGAAAGTCGCTTAGTGCACAGAAAAAGCCTCCTCCCCTTCCACTTGGCCCTAAGAGCAGTGGAAAGACACCTCATGGAGAGAATGAAGTCTAGAGTGGCTGAGTAGAGGGTAAGTCTTGTTCTGCCCATTCCATTGTCATAGGTTATACAGTAGATTCCGGACAGAGTCAGATCTCATTCAGTGCCCCCTAGTAGATTACTATGGGAGGTCTAGCTGTCATTCCTCTTTTGCTTTCTCTCTGTGATCACACTAATGGGATATACTGGACACCTGCATGGAACAACATAATATTCTGGAGCTTTACACAGATAACAGGGTCCATGTTTGTCGTCTTAAAATGTTCCTAAATGGGCAACTTAAGTGTTTTGCCTTTTAGTTCTCTTAGAACTGATGTATGAACAACATTTGTTGAGAAATGTCTGTAGCATTATAGCAGTATTTTATTGGGTTTCTCTCCCCACCCATTGTTGTTGTTGCTATTATTATTATCATTGGACTACAACCTCGTGATTGGGTTATTGTTAATCAACTAAAGCCGTTTTTCCTTTCTCTTTCTATCTTAGCTAATTGCATGTAATTTTTCAAACTTGCATGAAAGTACTCCAAATTCCTATCTCTGATTTAGCTGTTTCAGCTACCGCAACTGTTAACTCCGGTTGCATAACACTCTCTTAGTTTCTTTGTTCTGGAGCCCATAACATGTTGGAGAGTACACACATAGCAGTACTAGAACAATGTTAACTTGTGGATTCAGCCTTTTGAGACGCAGAATTATTTATTACCAGAGCACATTTCCCTCCCTTTGTAAAGGAATCACATCCACACTTCTTTCTAAGAAAAGATGCAAGCTTTTGTTTATTAGAGAAATACACTTGGGATAAGGGGGCGGTGATAGAAGTCCTAGTTCTAGCTAACCAATTTGGAGATGAAAGCAGCCATGGCTGCCCCTTTCATCTCTAGAGGACAAAGTCAAGATGCCTCCTCCTTATAAAGACAGCAGAGAGATGTGAGAAGGGAATAAGTGGCATCAGCAGTCCTAGGAACTGTAATCTAAGGTTTAAGGACAGACAACACAGGACAGAGCAGGTAAAGGACAGCCCTGGAAAACCAAAGAAGTTGTCTGTTTCTACTCTTCTCCTTGCAAAGATACGCACCTTCTTTCATGTAAGCTGAGTTGGTCACAGACACTTTCAAAAGTACTTTGTTGCTTTGAAAACAGAGTCTTCTCTAAGTTATTTTAGACACTGAGTCCAACTTTCACCTCGGTTTTGCTTGTGGCAAAATCTTCGCTAGCTCATTTTTTGCTTCTTTTCCCCTAGCATCTTTCTGCCACAGCTAGGGCTGATCAAGCAGTTAACATGATTGAACTCATGCTGTGTTGCATCCTCTGGTTGGTAGTCACCAATACTGAGCCTATGTTACATTGCATTATGACCTTTCATTCTCTGTCAGCTGGCAAGCTGCTACTGTCTTCAACTGCAATATCCTGATTAAGATCTGGAGCAGAACAAAGTTCATTGGGACAATCTTCCCTTATGCTCCGTCTATTTGAACACACCTCTTTCTTTGCCATGCCAACCCTTGCTATCCCTCGTGCCCATATTTATTTCTTCACTTGTGGGTCTCTCTTGGATCTCTGTGGATTTCTTGATGGGGTGGCAGCTCAGACTTTGTGGACACAAAACTACATTCAATCCATGCTGTGTCACCCTTCATCTGATGTCACATAATCCCATTTTGGTACTGTGTGTTTTCAGTCCATGAACTCACTCCCTCTGGCACATTCTGAGACCTTATTGCTCATGTCTGATCAACCAAAGTGCTGATTGGCTTATGGAGTTCTGGGAATGATAGCAGGGACAGCTTTGACCTCCATAAGGGTAGCCACATTCCCTGCCACTTCCATTTCATTTACAGAAATGGCCCCTGTCCATCAGATGTACCTGTAATAGCACTGCCAATGCTGCTTGTGCTTCTTCTAACTCTTCCTTGACCTCAGTATCACTGTTAACAAAACTTCTGGCCACTGCTGTTTCCACTGTCATCATCACACACTCTCTGTTATGGGTGGTATTTGTATTTGCACTCTAGTAAGCTTGCTTTCCTCCACTTATAGTTCTAATTATACATTCTATTAGACTCTTTCTAAGTCAGTGTCCTCCTGTTTTAGGCTTTCTATTATTTCTGAGGTTTTCACGATGTTTTACACCCCTCACCATGCTTCACTGATCACCCTGTTCTGCTATAAAACTGTATTTTAATCATTCTGTTGCGAAGTACTCTCATCTCATTTGAATTTCTCCTTTGGTTTTCTTTGTCCTTGACAAACTGCCCAATGACTACTTGTCATCTGCTGTTGAATGGAAATGTCATAAAAATTCTAAGGATCCATGTCCACATAAATTCCAGATAGAGAGCTGTGCTGTTCTAATGACTTCACTTGCATGGCTTTCACCATGTATGTTTCGTCATCTGCTTGCCATCAAAACCTGGTTCCTGACTGTCTTCTAACCATCCTGGGTAGACTCCATTATTTTGTTGCAAACTGCCTCTGGAAAAAGAATTCTGTCAAAAATTGTTCCATTGAGTAGTGTTCAGGACAAAGAATTGTTCATACGTACTGTATATAGATGTATAAACATATCATGGTGTATCTAGTTGCAAATGACTGGTTCTGCTGCAAAATGTCTCTTGCCTGCATAGAAAAGAAAAGCAATTCCTGATAAATTCATTTTTTTCCTCCTTTCCTTTTTACAACTTCATTGTTTTCAGTGTGGATGTGAAAAAAGAAGGATTAAGGAACAAGTTGTTAGGTTCATACAATATTTAATTTGTAATAGAAACATGCCATGAAGGGTCAGAGTGGTCCGTACTAGGTGATGGTGGAAATCTGAAATATCCTAACCTAAACGTTTCCTAATTTGACCTGTAATCTTTATAGCATAACTATGTCATGATGTCTGATTCTTCATCAGGCTGTAGACTACAGGTTGTTTCAGGTATAAAGTAATGGTTTAACAGAAATGGTTTCTATGCTCTTTATTGTTGCTCACCACCTTGGGTATGCTCTTATAGAAAGGAGGAATAAATGTTTAATAAATAAAAAATAAACCTCCTGGATCCCAATTGCTAACAGAAATATATTTATTCCAATATGCTTATTGATATAGCTCCTTCCTAATATCAGGTTTGTTTGTTTTTATTTATAGATTTACAGTAATTAGAAGGGAGAAACTGATTTCAGGTCACATGGACAAACTGAAAACCAATCCACGAATCAATGAAGTAGATCCAGAAAGCTTGAGGTGGACTCCCCTTCTGGTTCCTAATGCAGCAGTTTCTGAGGAAGAGAGAGAAGCTGAAAAAGAGGTAAAAGAGGACACACAAATCTGGCAACTATCTTCTAAATGTTTGCAAAAGTGGACCTGCTTAAGATGACTGGCATAACACATATATTCATATACCGAGCTCCCATAGATGCTCATAAGGCAAGCTAGGCATAATATGTTTGTTTATTTGTTGCTCTATTGATTGCTTAAGTAGCAACATAGGGAGCAGAGAGGTCCTTGCCCCACAGTGCTTATGATCTGAATTAGACTGGTATCAGGGGGATAGCAGAAGGGATGTCAAAAGGAAGACACAATGCAAGGAAGCCTAATCACCATTTCTAATGAGGATGTGTAAGGGTTAAGTCAGACAAACCCATAGAGGAGGTGATCTACACTTTCAGTGAGAGTGATGCCATGAAATTTTCTAAGAGGAAAATCTGAGCAAGAGGAAGAGCAAGAAAAATAGGCAGAGAGAGAAGATGGGAGTAAAGTCATGGTAAAGAAAGGATTTAGTGCTTCATGTCCTAAGAAATGAGGAAAGGATTAATGGTCTTGGCAGTGAGGGGTGAATGATTATATCGGCAGTCTACTCTGGAAAAGCGAGAGGAGGAGGAAGAGGAAAACCATTTGAGATGTTAACATGCATGGCAGAGTTTTAGTCAATGTGACACAGGGTTGTTTTTGTTTGAAATGGGGTATACGTAGCTGTGGCCATATTAAATATGGACGCCAAAGAAGAGTAAGTCATCTCGGTAAAACCTGCATTCTGCATTTTCTTATTGTTAGGCCTGAAACATAAATAATAGTTATTTAGTTTTTATTCTGTTTCTGTATTACTCTTATGTACATGGGCTTCAATGAAGTTGAAATAAATCTCAGATACTTTTGATAACAACCATTGCATTTATGAAATTCTTCCAAGTGATGCATGTCAGAGGATAAGTGATGTAGCTATGGAAGAACTAACAGCAGTTTGATGCTTCATTAATCATGCTAATTATCCCATTTACTTTTTGTAGGAGAATTACTAAGATGAATTGGCAAAGATGAATTACAGAATAGATACTAGGATGAATTAGCTATGACACTGTAGCTTGAAGTAGTCTTTAGTGCAAATCAAAGCTGATTTGTTGTAACTTTTTTTTAAAAAAGCAGAGCTTAAAGTGATGTTTGGAAATCTAGAGCCTTCCAGATTTTGTCGAACTGGAATTCCTGTTATCCAGCACCACTGACTGTGCTGGCTATGGCTTGAAGGGAACTACAGCTGGACAAGGTCTCAAAGGAAGTACATTTGCCACCCATTACTCAAAGGATATTGGCTATCTGCTACAGTATTTCAAAACCGTTTCTTTCACCTCTGTGCTCCTTAGGCTGAAAGATTGATGGAACAAGCAAGCTGCTGGGAAAAAGAAGAGCAGGAGCTGTTCTCTGCAAGAGCTAATAGGCAATTGCCTGCAAAACTACAGTCTAAAAACAAGTATTTGCGACCTCAAGAGAACATAACGTTAGCAATGGAGAAAGGGCAGTCCACAGATCCACCAAAAGAAAGCAGTGGAGAGGAAGAGGAGGATGGTGAGGAAGAGGAAGAAGATGTGGATGGACATAATCAAAATTCTCCACCAAAACTAGGAAAACTGCAGTTGCTCGCTATGAAGAGAAAGGTCAGTTGCTTAAAGTTAGAATGGATTTCATTAGCAGACTGCTAAAAAGTATCTGTAGAACTGCACATAAAGTTTGTTGAGCATTTAAAATGTTCTTTTTTAAGATGGTATTTTGTTATTTCATAATTTTTATTTCTTTTATACTTTTAAAATCAAGAATCGTATTAAAATCTTGCCGTCTACTAGCTTTAAGTTAGATTAATTGAAATACATTGGACATTGCAACATTGTTCTATGCTTTGTTTTGTTTGTTTAAAAGGTAGATTCATTGTATTGACCTGTCATTAGGTACGATGAAGTTGTACAAACAATCAGGAGCCACATAACTTTTCTAAGACCTAGCATTAGGATGCTGCTGTTATGCCTTTATTCTACTTGTAAATTAGCCCTATTCATGAGCCACCACTTCTTTCTAGCTTTGTACAATGTAGAAGGACAAATTAGGGACTGGCTACACCTGTATTAGCCCACGGTTTGGTGTGCTGCGGGGAAGGCTGGTTCATTTCTAAAGATGACAGTTAGATGACATCTTTGCTGGGGTGAACCAGCTCTCCCTCAGAGCTGTCTTATCTGCACTTTTCTGGCCCCTGTCAGGGACTTCCAGTTTGTGTGTGTGTGTGTAGGTAGGATCACTCTCTTTTTGGTTCATTTCCAGAGTGTGTAATTGCTGGAAACAGACCAAAAGACTTTGATTTGGCAGTTTTGTGGTCTTAATAGAATATTGGCTAGTTAAACACTTAGAATACTTCAGAATTTTGGCTAGTTGAACACCTCCTCTCCTCCCTCAGCAATTTCAGACGCTTCTCCTCCTGCTTATGCTTGGTGCTTGCTAGCATGATCTCTGCCGGTGTGTGTAGAGGAGGCGTGTGTGTGTGTTGGGAGCTTGTGCCTCTCCTGGTAGGTATGATTGCTACGTGCCATCAAATCAGAACCAAACTGTCACAACCTTAACAGGGCTTTCAAGATAAGTGAGATATTTAAGGACTAGTTTTACCAGCTTTCCCCACTCTGCAAGTTCCAATTAGTGGGGAATCCACACAGTCCTAGTCCATCATTCTGTCCACTATGGCACACTAAAAAGATACGCCTGTCTGTCTATCATGTTTTTCTTCTTATACAAGTTTTTTTTCAAATATACACACTTTTTAAATTCTTATACTGTATACGTTTTTAAAATGTACACCCTTCTTTATGCACTTTTGCAAATGCACATTTTCAACAAATAAAGCATTTTTGGCATGGTTTATTTTTTGTGAAATGTCTCACATACTTCAGAAAATCTAACTATATTATTGTTCTTATATAGTCCCAAGTGTCCATTTGGTAGGATCACATTGTGAATGAAATACATTTCTCAGACATCCCTACTGTGCAAAACACAGAGTGTTCTCCTCAAGCAGTAAAGAAAAAAGACTAATCTGTCTTGCACCCCTGACCTGCAAGCAACGCATCTACCAGTTCACACTGAAAAAGGGCAGCGGAAACAGGATAATTTCCAAGTGCATTTTCTTGCTGCTAGTCCCTTGGCAGGGTCTTTGTAACCCTAGTACAGGGTTACGGCTATAAGCTGTGTACATTAAAGAGCCTTGAAATCCACTGGGTGATCTTGGTCTAGATACTCTTTCTTAGCCTGACCTACTTTACAGAGTTGTTATGAGGTTAAGTTGGGCAGGGAATTGAATCAGGTATATTACCTTGAGCTTATGGGAAGAAGACAGGGCATGAATATAGCTGATAAATAAAGAGAACATATATAGACCTGAAGAACTTTTTCATATAGCATAAGGCTAAATGTACTCATTGAAACCACATACTTGAGTCTACAGAAAGTAGTCAAATACAAAATTAAATGCAATGAACCCCCAACTATTGAGGTGACTTTCTTAAATATATAACTAGTGTTGGCTGACAGTATTTTCATGTATTAGAGACTGAAACTGAGTGTGAGTGGTAAAATTATATACACATGTTCGAAGGAAAGTTTAAATTGAATTTGAATAGCTGGATCGAATGGCATAATTTCACTGATGGCAATTGGTTTTGCCAGTTGAAACTGGGGTAAGATCAGCTACTCTCCTCCTACAACATGTCACATGCCCCAAAAAGCAGTTTGTGAGAGAAGCCTGGGTCCATATAGTTGCTCACTGTGGATAACGGTGGATGAAAATGTTTGGGGCATTCAGTAAAGTGTTGGTGAAGATTCTAAGTCCATAGCAGCAATTTTGCATGTATACTGTACAGTGGTGCCTTGCAAGACGATGTTAATTCGTTCTGCGAAAATGTCGTCTTGTCAAAACATTGTCTTCCAAAACGTGGTTCCCCATTGGAATGCATTGAAATCTATTTAATGCATTCCAATGGGGAAAAATCATCGTCTTGCGAAAATCATCCATAGAAAACATTGTCTTGGGAAGCGTCACAGCGATCACAAAAACCAATCGTCTTGCGGATTAATCGTCCTGCGAGGCAATCATCTTGCGAGGCACCACTGTATACAACAAAGAAGAGAGTACATAGATGGATTTGTGAGGCACAGCCAATAACTTTTGAACTGTGGGCAGAATACACTGACCTGTGTGTCATAAAACTTTGCATGTTCTGCAAAAAGTTGTCAATTTTCCTTCTTAACTTTCACATTTCTAACATTATTTTTAGAGACCTTTCATACTGAAAAAGAAAAGGGGTCGTAAACGCCGAAAGATTAATAGCAGTGTTACCACGGAAACAATTTCTGAAACCACTGAAGTTCTGAATGAGCCATTTGATAACTCAGAAGAAGAGCAGCTCGTGACACAGTTGGAACCCACCTCTGAGATAGAGGAGGAGAACGATGAATTAAAGACTGGTACTCAAACAGTATTCCAGTGTCAGTTGGAGGAGAGGGAAGAAGATCAGCAAGAGGAAAAGGAGCAGGAGAAGGACAATCACTGTTACCAGAATGATACTCCATGCAGAGGTGAGTGCAAAATGCATATATAGGATGCCATTCTGTGCACATGGCACATGGACCTGGAAATGAGCCCTGCTAATCTTAGTAGGACTTTAATCTAAATAAATGCACATAGGCTTAGACTATCAATATCTCAAATTACCTTTTATGGATTGCTTTTTCTGTACAGTTTCTGTACAGAAAACTCTGAATAGTGATTTTATTTTGTGTTTTGATTTTTGTTGAAATACTTTGTAGTTTTTATGCTTCTGCGTCCCTTTAATTCATTTTTATTCTATTTAATTCTGGTTCCTTTCAGAATTTTATAACTGATTTGCCTGATTTTGTCTGAATTGAGAATTTGGGTCCACTAGTTCAAAGTAAAACAGTTCTTCAGTGGATTGGGTACCTTTTTTTGAAAGCATCACAGCTTCCTTTAGTCTGTGATTTAGCAGTGGCATAACTGTAATTTATTTCATCTTTTCATTGTCATCCAGTAATTATCAGGAAAGTACAGTACGTGGATTTTTTGTTTGTCTTGTTTGGGTTTTGTTTATGGTTTTTGCCCTTCTTCTCTCTCCTCCTCCTTCCCTCTCTTCCTTCCCTCCTTCTTGTTCTCCTTTAACGTCTTCCCTTACCTTTCACAGACTCATTATTAAACAGGGAGATACATTCTTATGAAGATGCTTTATACCACTACACTAGCACACGGAAAGGCAGCCACATCCTTGCAGTTTACTCTGGTTAGGCAAGCTGAAAATGTGACTGGTTGCAGCAAGCGTGTGAGTCACAGTAAACACGGGCTGTTCATAACAACTATCCTCAGATGATCGCATTGGTGCTGGTTTAACTATTGTGCCAAGCACATCAGTGTGATGCATCCATGCTGGAAAACTTTCTGCAGAGGGTCATAGTGAGTCACAAGATGGTACATGACCACATCATTAACTAGATTGATGGTAACCAGCGTAACTAGAGGACACAGTGACTTTACGTAGTCACACAGACCTTTCAACCAATCTTAGAAGGAGACTCATTCTACCCAGAGTGAAGTGTGAACCATAGAAGGAATCCCAAGGGTCATCAAGTCACCTCCCTCCTGAAATCATAGCACTGGATATAGAATTGTAGAGCTGGAAAGGACTTTAGACAAGCATAGAGATCAAAAGAGACTCCACCTCCAACAACTATTCCTGAAGCTTCAGATATCAATACAGAGATCACAAGAGAGTTTTTTGTTCAGTAATATAACATGAAGAACTGTTGAATATTACTGTCAAGTCACTTTCAACATGTGGCAACCTTGTGACCTCCTGTCAGTAACAGGTCTTGCAGACTCAGGCTGTGACTTCTTTTACTGATTCAGTCCATCTCATATTTTCTTCTTTTGCTACTGCCATCAACTTCTCCCAGCATCATTGTTGTTGCCAACAAGTCCTGTCTTCTCATTATGTCCCTAAAGTATGATAGCCTTAGTTTAGACATTTTTATTTCTAGAGAGAATACAAGCTTCATTTGATCAAGTGTCCGCTTATTTGTGTTTCTTGCATCTATGGATCCACAAAGCTCTCATGCAACATCACATTTTAGTGAATCAATTTTTTGTCTATCAATTTTCTTTGCTGTCCAGCTTTCCAGTGGCACTGTCCAATGGCACTTTCTTACACTTCAGGATCTTTTCTAGTTTCCTCATCGCTGCTCTTCCAAGGCTCAGTCTTCTGATGTCCATTTGGTGATTGAAACAAGGTATACAAATCTTTAACAATTTCAATTTCTTCATTGCCAACAGTTATGTAGCTGACTGGATAGCTCAGTAAGTTAGGTATCAGGCTGCAGAGCCAGATGTTAGGAGTTCAGTTCCCCACTGTGCATTCCAGAGGAGCCAGCCTATGTGGTCTTGGGCAAGCTGATTAGTTCTAGGATATTCCCAGAAGAAGGGAATGGTGAACCAGTTCTGAATACTTGTCTTAGCAAACCCTTAAAAAGGGTCATCGTAACTCAGAATAGACTTGACAGCTCACAGTTATTTTTCTGTAGATGTGATTTTTGTCTTCTTAATATTCAGCTGCAGTCCAGCTTTTGCACTTTCTTTTTTCACCTTGATCACAAGTCGTTTCAAGTCATATCCAGCTTTTTGTATGATATATTCTGCATGCAGATTGAACAGATAGGAAGATCAAATATACTTTTGCCTGACACATTTGTCTATAGGAAATCATTCTGTTTCTTCTTACTCTACTTTAACTGTAGCTTCTTGTCCAGAATATAGATTATAACACAAGGACCCACCCATTTCTTTAAAACAAGCTATAGTTTTTATGATTCATACAGTCAAAGGCCTTGCTGTAACCTACAAAGCAGACTTTCTTCTGAATTTTTTTGGTCTGCTCCAGTAGTCAGCTTATATTTGTATTATGATCTATACTGCTTACTCCTTTTTTGGAATCGATTCTCACTCAATATATACTAAAAAGTCTTTCCGGCAGTCCAGGGTATCCGCAAAGCTCTCCTCCAGCATCACATTTCAAGAAATCAATTTTTTCACCTGTCAGCTTTCTTAACTGTTTAGCTTTCACATCTATACATGGTGATCAGAAATACAAGAGTGTGGATGACCTTGGTCTTGCGCTCCACTGTTATTGTATTATTTTGTTATTTTATGGTTTTGTTACTGTTGTAAACTGCCCATAGTGGCCGTGGTGCCAGATGGGTGAAGACAGACAGACAGACAGACAGACAGACAGATCCTTACACTTGATGATTTTTTCTAATTACTTCATTGCTGCCCTTCCTAGTCTCAGTCTTCTTCTGATTTCTTCACTACAGTCTCCCATTAAGACTGAAGATTGAACCAAGGTATAAAAAATCTTTTAGCTATTTCAATTTCTTCATAATCACTGCTAAAGTACTGTAGTTCTTCTGTATTCATGGTTTTTACCTTCTTAACATTCAACTTCATTCCTGCTTTGGCACTTTCTTCTTTCACTTTCACTAGAAGTTGTTTCAGGCAGTTGCTGCTTTGTACAGGACAGCGTCATCTGCATATGTGAAATTATTGATGTTTCTTCCACCAATTTTGCCAGTTTTCAGTTATGCACATGCACCACAGAGGCTACTATTTTAATTGGTTAGTACAAGTTTCAAGCCACATTTACCTTCTGTCTCCTTTCAAACTGAAGATTTGAGAACCTTCAAGAATAGGTTTCAGAACTTGGAACTAAAATAGGTTTTTTCCATACTAGGATTTTTTTTTTATAGAACATATGTTTCTGTTAAATAAAGAAAGGGCACTGTGATAAATTAATATAAATTTACAGGAATAGCAGCCACAACATGCATTGTCACCTTATCAATGTTCTGATGGCAAAATAAACTCTCATATTTCACTTCTTATACAGTGGTCTCCCCCCCCCATATTGTGACTATATTGCTGTAGAAAAATGTGGCTCAAAAATCAGCCCTTCGATGCATGTAACAGCATTTAGCTCTACAGTCCTAGATTTCCATTAAATATTGCATTCAGTGTAATTTTTAGGGGTTTCCTGTTCACAGGAACTTCTTTTCAATTACATACACTTGCTTATTCTGTAATTTGTTGGTAAAATGCCAAGTGGTTTAGTGGTTCAGAAGAGACTTGTAAGCACAGAAAATATAAACTTTACCATAATGGATTCCTTTCCCTTAAAACCAGACAGCTCCATTCCCCCCCCCTTTTTTATGTGTTTGACAATCTCTGTCTTACAAGAATTTTAGATTAAAGTAAGAGGTTTAGTTTTAATGACTATAAAGTTTTATGCTTGGTTTTGTTTATCCTATAATGTTTAATCTGATAAGATAAGGCAAGTGTTTGTTCTCTGTTATAGGCTTGGTAGAATTTGCAGTTCTTAATAAATACTGAGGGCGGTTTTCCATACATTAAACAAGCTGAAGATTAGGGACAGTGCTGGTGGTATTGTTTCTCTGTTGGGAGAATCCTCAAGTAATCTTCAGCTTGCTTACTCTTGGAACAATATACATACAAAATGCGATGTCAGAAATAAAAATATATGTGAATTTTTGAGGAAATTGCTGTAAGCTGGAGGATGCAGGAATCTCTGAACGTTGTGTACTTTAGTAACATGTTTTTCACATGTGTTTTGTCTGTAACCCAACCTCCTCCCCACCATAGAAAATGCTTTATAACACAGAGTGCAATCAGAGGGGAAATAGCTCACATTTTGGGCTGCTTATTGCATGGTTCAGTGCAACCTATCTCCTAGCCATTACACGATGTCCGTGAAATCGCAACCAAACTAGATCCAGATCCATGCCCAAGTTGGATATTTTCACTATAGCAGTAAGGTTAGCACTTGTGTGGGGCAGGCTGGAATGATTCCTCCACAGACAGAGGGGTTGCTTTGAAGACAGTTGTTCCCAGCAAAGCGGCCCTTTCTATTGTGACCAGACACAATTCTTTATAGTCCTCTGATGACACTCATTTATTTTATTTATTTATTTAATTTATACCCCGCCCATCTGGTCTTGCGACCACTCTAGGTGGCTCACAATTACCTTCTAACTCACAGTGTTCTTATGATGTTACTACCACATCTTCATTGCTCTACAAAAGGACAAAGTATGTAAAATATTTAAATTGAATACATACAAAGCATACTTCAGATGGATGTTTACTAATTACTAACAGTTACTAATTGTTTTTGAAGATGGCAGTTTAGTCATGGTCTTCACATTTACTTTTCTGACCATACTTTCCTAAACATCAAGGTGCTCACCATTATTGCAGTCTGGGAATAATGTCACATGGCAGTGAGTCAAACAGACATGAACCAAGAAAACTTCTCAGAAGCTGGTTCAGATGTATACCGAGAAATGCATCTGGCAGGATAAATGTTTAAAAGATATGTAACTGTTGCCTGGATTTCTCTGACAAAATGTCTTAACAATGTACATGCAGTGACAAACTAAACGTTTTCCAAATAAAATATTACCTTTTTATTGTCTGTAAAATTTTCCAGATGAAATGGTACCTGTTTATGATTTCTCTCACAATATAAAATTCTTCAGGTGGATTGGATTCCTGTATAGAATAGTAATATACTGGAATTTGTATCAGTGATACTAGTTATAGGGTTTTGTGCTTGTTAGTGGTCTGCACTTCCATTGCTGTTTTTTAGTTTTCTGGGTTTTTTTCCTGATTAAAAATCAAATTATTTTAGAGAATTCACAACTATAACAAATGGGGTTGTGGGGGATAGAACTTGTATGTGTACAAGTAGTAGAAACTTGTACAGAACCCATCAAGTGGGCAGAACTAAATGTGTATCAACTGACTACAATCCAACAGGCTAGAATGAAAGACATTACTGTTACTGCCCTTTTGTGTATGTCAATGAAAACAACTTGTATTCACAAAAACTAGTTTAGTTCATAGCTGTGCCATGCTTTTTCTTTTAAAATAAATGAAGGCGTGGGTGAAAACACTCCTGCCATAAAGTTGATAAGAATAAGGATGTCTGAAGTTGTATTTTCTTGATTACATTTCATAAAACAGCCCTTGAAGGTCTTGAGTTGGACTAACTTGCTTTCTTGTCTTTCTTCGTCATACCCCACAGTGAAGGCAGAAGAAGATGGAGCTATCCTGGAAGATGGTAATAAAGACAATCCTCAACCTATAAAGTGTAAAGGGTGGCCTACGGGAATGAAGCAGTGTCCAGCCAAGTGGAAGCAAAACAAAGAGAGAAAACCAGGTTTTAAACTTAATTTGTACACTCCACCTGAGACTCCTATGGAGCCTGACTATCAGGCAGTGGGAGAGGAGTCAAAAGAGTTGGCTGAAAATAACCCATGCCAAGCATTTGTTGTTACAGAAGAAATTAAAAACTCTGAAAGCATTCTGCCACCTGAAGATGAGACAAGAGATTCAGTTTCGGAGTATTTGGAGCAATCCAGGACAGAAAAAAAAGAAAATGATTTAACAGCAGAGGAAAGTAACCTAGCAGACGAAGCAGATAATGTGAACATTCAGGATAAAGACAAGCGAGAGGAAGCTGAAGTGGAGAAAGGTGAATCTGAGCATTTAAAAGTCCAAGAGGAAGAAGAGGAGGAGGTGGAAGAAGCTCCTAAGGGGGATCATGAGGATGAGGATGAGAACCATGAGGGCTCAACAGAAAGGAAACCTCAGGAGGCTCTCAAAGAAGGACTTGAGAGTCAGGAACCTTTTTTAGACACAACTGAAAATAAGAGCAATGCAAATCAGGAAAATCTAATGGATTCCACTGTTGACTTTGCAGCTGGGCATGACAGTGACCATAAGGAGTTTCCTGCTCTTCTGGAACCTGAATCTGAGTTAAGTAGTGAAAGTATAAGCAATCAAAACCAGACTGACAATACCGAACTAAATCCTACATTCAAAGATCCAAATGGAGAAACTGTGGAGATAGATTCTGAGACAGCCCAGGCAGTGAAGTCTCTAACACAGGAAACAACACAGCAGGAAGATGTGTTTCAGGATTGTGCAGAGACTCAGGAGGCATGTCGAAGCCTGCAGACCTATGGCAATCCTGACCAAAGCCCACAGATGACCACGCTGGATGAGTGTCAACAGTCTGATCACAGTAGCCCGGTCTCATCTGTGCAGTCTCATCCCAGCCAGTCTGTTCGTTCTGTTAGTAGTCCAAATGTGCCTGCATTAGAAACCAGTTATGCTCAAATTAGCCCTGATCAAAGTGCCATCTCTGTGCCATCTCTACAGAACATGGAGACTAGTCCCATGATGGATGTTCCATCTGTTTCTGACCATTCTCAGCAGGTTGTCGACAGTGGATTTAGTGATCTGGGCAGCATCGAGAGTACAACAGAGAACTATGAGAACCCAAGTAGCTATGATTCCACTATGGGCAATAACATCTGTGGAAACAGCTCCTCACAGAACAGTTGTTCATACAGCAATCTCACATCCAGCAACATGACACAGAGCAGCTGTGCAGTGACCCAGCAGATATCAAACATGAATGGAAGCTGCAGCTTGATGCAGAACACCAGCATCAATTCCCCCCCTCCCTGCAATGTGAAATCTCCGCAAGGCTGTGTAATTGAAAGGCCCCCAAGCAGCAGTCAGCAGCTTCCTCAATGCAGCATGGCTGCTAACTTCAGCCCACCTATGCAGTTAAATGAAATTGCAGACAGCAGCAATGCCAACATTGGCTTGTATGAAAGAATGGGCCAAGGGGAATTTGCAGCAGGGCATTATCCACAACCATCTGCTACCTTCAGCCTTGCCAAATTGCAGCAGTTAACCAACACACTTATGGATCATTCGTTGCCTTATAGTCATTCGGCTGCTGTTACTTCCTATGCAAATAGTGCCTCTTTATCTACTCCTCTCAGTAGCACAGGACTAGTTCAGCTTTCTCAATCTCCTCACCCAGTTGCAGGAGGGGGGCAAGTCCAGGCTACAATGACTCCACCCCCTAACCTCACTCCTCCCCCCATGAATTTGCCACCTCCCCTTCTGCAACGTAACATGGCCTCCTCCAATATTGGCCTGTCCCATGCCCAAAGACTGCAAACTCAGATGCCTGGCAAAGGTCATGTTAGAACTAAGTCAACACCTCTCCCACCAGCTGCTGCAGCCCACCAGCCCCAGATCTATGGGCGTGCCTCACAGACTGTGACCATGCAAGGGCCAGCACGCACCTTAACCATGCAGCGTGGTATGAACATGAGTGTGAACTTAATGCCAGCTCCAGCATACAATGTTAATTCTGTGAATATGAATATGAACACTCTTAATGCTATGAATGGGTATAGTATGTCCCAACCTATGATGAATGGAGGCTATCATGCAAACCATGGCTATATGAATCAAACAGCCCAGTACCCTATGCAGATGCAAATGGGAATGATGGGAAGCCAGCCATATGCACAACAGTCAATGCAGACCACCCCTCATAGCAACATGATGTATACTCCTCCAGCACATCATGGCTATATAAATACTGGCATCTCTAAACAGTCTCTGAATAGCTCTTACATGCGTAGGTAGGATCTTGTGGGGAGGGGGAGACAGTGGACCTACCAGACTGGCGTGCCAGATTTGATGTGCACAGAAATGTGTCCTTTTTGGTACGATGTTGAGTACGATTTCAAAACCAGCAATTGGTGTGAATGCAAAAAACATTTGTTGGCACCATTTTTTAAAAAAAAATGTATGCAGCAGAAAGCCTTATATAAATGTGTTCTCATTTTATTTTCCTCGTTTTGTAATTCTAGTTTGTTTGATTTTTATTTTATTTTATAACTGAAGTTCTGTGGTGAGGAAGAACTTGGTTGTACTGCAGACATGCAAAACAAGCTGATGGTTCACAGCCATTTTTTATGTGCCTGCTCCCATTTGAAATGTAGATCATAGTTTTGGAGTATATCTGATGTTGTGCTGGACTGTGAGCTTTCCTCCTGTTCTGTCCTTCCCTTCCCTTTCCCTTTCCCCTTCACCATGTAAATGCCTTTTTGAATTGCATTCATGGACTGTTTTGTTCCTCAAGTTGACACTTCCGCATGCCGCTAATGTCTTTCTTATTGACAGTGCGTTTTGTAGTACTGTACAAGTGTTGTGCTTAACAGTAAGCCATTCTCTTTACTTGGGTTTTTTGCTTTCATTTTTTTGCTCTAATTGGAGGGCTTTAAAAATTATATTTTTGTTAATTAGATTTTTAAAAATCTTGGGTGTTTTTTTTAAAGCTGTGAAATTATTACCATTTTGATTAGTTCAGACATTTGAGTGCAATCCACTGGGAGAATCCCCTGTGTGTTTCTGTGCTCTTGCACAAATCTGATTAATTTCCACAGGGCTGGCACAGAAGAACATCCTGATGAATTACACCCTTGAACACGTGCTATAAAAGCAAGTCCTTTTTGTTCTAGTAGCAGATTTTTTTCCCCAGTGAAGGAAACAAATGGCAGCTTATTCTGTTTTTATTAAAAGCAAACTTTATTGATTGATTGAAGCATATCAATGTTTATCAAGATTTTGAAACATTTTCATATACAGATACTTGGCAGGATTTTAAAAAATTAGTGAATTTGGTGTAAAGTTGCTATTTTATGGAAATGCCTCTAACTTTACATTTTCATTCCATCTGTAGATTTTTCTATCTTTATAAAATATTGGAGTTATTTTTTAAGAAAAGTAAATAGAGCAGTAGCGTGTGAATAGCTCAAATGAAGCTTAAAGAGCGCATGTAAAAAAGCAGAAAGTATTTGTGTCTGTTTATATGGCTTCTTTTTTTGTAGCCTTTGTACCTGTACAGAGTGACTGTAAGAGCCAAGAAGTGGCTTGATCCATGTATAAAAATAGACCCAGTGACACACTCTTGTATTTATGTTACCTTTTTAGTCAGTCACTTAAATAAAGCAAAGACAAGCTGTACATTTTAACATAAAAATAAATTATGATGAGCCATTTTAGCCTCTTGTGTCTTGTCATGGTCTGACATACTTATGGTTTGTTGATGGAGATGAAAAGCTATGTATTCCTGTTGGTTCTCTTTGACGTCTTAGTGACTTTTAGCAAGTAACAGGAGTGGTGTTTTTCTGAACTCCCTTGTGAAGAAGTTACTAGCAAGGCATTGTACTTTAGTGATTGCAAATATTCTTGGAACATTGTTTTCAGAATGTGACTATAGGGAGACCATTGTTCTACTCTGTGGCCTTTGTACATCAGTATGCTGGGTGGGGGTGGGGATTCAATATTATCTCTTTTGCCTTTTCAACAACTAAGTAAAGCTACTGCATAATATCAGCCAAATGCTTGGTCTGAAAGGACATCTATAAGCAGAAGACAAATTTGTACCACTCACTTCCAAAATATGATCCCAGACAGATGGGAATGTTAGTGAAAGTGCTATGGGATGTCAGCTGAGTGGTAAAAGAGAGCTTCAGATTAGATAGAGGTACTCAGAAATGTGAGATGATGCTTGTTCTAGAAAAGTTTGCATTCCCCTTGAATATGTTTATACTTTGGAATGGAATTCCTTTATCCTGTGCCTTGCTTTGATATGGAGATGGTACTGATGTAGCAGCAGCAGAATCAGAAAGACTAAAGTGAAGTTGAATAGCAAAGACAAGAGAGAAATCAGAAATATATTTTGATTCAAATGTTTTGCTCCATAATGTTTATGTCATTGCTGTGGTCCAGGGTGTGGTATATAAAGGTGATGAGGTCATCCATCCACTGGAGGTCATCTGTTCATCTGTCTCAAATGCCCTCAACGTTTAGCCCCGTGCTTTATTCTGGTAATATCCATTTCTGTTTGCCAAAATCCTTTCATCTCACTATGCCATCTAAAGGGCACAGCATCTCATTGGGTCAGCATGTTTCCTGATTACGCATCTTTTAGTCTCACAGAAATTCCCCTCTCATTCAAACTCGTGTTCATATTAATGTTATGACTTCTGTCAACCAGGATGTGCCAAGCAGAAACATTCTCAGGCTCTTACATGAGCTAATCAGTACTTTTTGCCCTGATATTTAGTGTGGCAGTTTGCCTCCCAGCTCTCTTGTTAGTAACAGCTATAAAACTCTGGTCAAGCTTTGCTCAATGTGTGGCCTTGCTGACAGCCAAAGCAAAGCATACCAAAGCCATACTGCACATTTCCAGTAGAAATTATTTTCCTGGTTTCCACCGTTATAAATTCAGAACTATCTTGCACCGAAGAAAGAACAACAGGGTATACCCATGCATGTGATTGTCTCTGCTACAGGTCCAAGATGCTCAGACCTAGATACTAAAACCTGGTATGCATATGAAGGAGACCCTTGGGTTGTGCACACTGAGAGTGATTTTTAATTGATTGTTTTAGTTAATTTAAATTGATACATAGCATTTTCAGTCACCAGGTGGTAGTTGCCCCTAATCTTCCCTAAAGACAAGAACAAATTTAGAAAATCCATTTCTGTATGGATTCTCAAAGCAACTTTCGTCTACAGAACTCTCAAACCCTTTAAAGAACTGAGAAAGAGAGGTTCTTCTGACCATAGGAAAAAGGATAAACCATCTTTGCAGCAGTGTGAGAGAAAGACTGGTGAGAGAGAAAAGGAGAGCTTTGGGGATACTGCTTCATGGCATGGTGGTTAAACTGCAATACTGCAATGAAGACTTGGCTCACAACCAGAGTTTGATCCCAGACTTAAGTAGGCAGCTCAAGGTTGACTCAATCTTCCATCATTCCAAGGTCAATAAATTGAGTACCCAGCTCACTGAAGGGTGGGGGAGCAATGTGTAGCCCGCATAATTAAACTCTAAACTACCCAGAGAGTGCTTTAAGCACCATGAGGCAGTATATAAGCAGCACACTTTGTGTTTACTTTAAAATTATTAGGATACTATGGCTACAATTCTGTGTATACAAAGAATCTGGTTAAGAAATAGAATTGTCCTCCTCAAATCTGTTAGGCTGATTCTCTTTGCAAACAAAGCACACAGGAAGCATGTGCGTTGTTTTGTAATTTATTACTATGTAACTTCAGGGAAAAGCCACTCTTCCTGATTGCATGGCTCCATAGCTCTAGTATTTTCTTCCCTTAAAAAGTTCGGAAGGCTACTAGTGTTCATTTATCCATGGTATTTACTGCATTTTCTAAAACACAGTTAGACAGGAAGAATACAAATCTAGCAAATGTATACAGAAAATACAGTAATGTGTTTATTCTGAGTGCATGATTATCATATTTTGCATTTGGAACATAATCTGTGGGCAAAGTATATCAACCTTTTTGTCAATTTGCTTTGTTATTGTCTTGTGAGCAAACTGAGGTTTTGTGACCAGACGTTTCCTTATAGATAAAAATACTACTACTACTACTACTACTACTACTACTACTACTACTACTACTACTACTACTACTACTACTACTACTACTACTACTACTACTACTACTACTACTACTACATTGCACTTCTTATTTCTCAGTATTCCTGGTGTGCAACAATACTTTGGGAATCAAGTCCTAAGGATTTCTGTATGAGAAGGTGTGTTTTGAAAAATCATTGATTTTTGAATTTCAGGATGCAAATCAAAAGTTATTCACAATTCTTTTAAATTGGTAACTAATGTAACACCTCTACTCTGCTGAAATTAGTATGGGGTGGAGGATGACCTGATAATGTTTCGATATTTTTTGCCTCTTTGTTACTTTACAATATTTGTACTTTGAGGTTGCTTGTTGATAAAATTACAGCTTCTTTAAGATACATTTTTCCTTGTTGCTTATTCAGAAGTATAATACCCATTAAGGTTTTTATAATGATTTTAACATTTTGTTTTATGTGATAAATTCCTTGTCTCAATATAATATTGTAGCAGTTTTCTGAAACTGGAGATGGCTGAATTTCTGATATGAAAGAAAAGATGTGAGTAAGCTATAAGAAATGGCCAGTTGAAAAATGATTTTTGCACCTTGGGTTATGATTGCATATATATTTCACTGATGCTGCCTTAGGGAATCCAGCCATTATATGAATTCATTCTTATAGATTGTGACAGGCACTACATATATCACTTACTCCTCACTTAATAATTTTTTGATATTATATATTACTGTATATATATTTCAAATAACTTGGTCTTTAATTGTACATAAAACACAATTGTGCTAAAATAACTTGGTTGGCCTTGTGTACTAGGCATCTGGATGGAGAAGGTGCTGCCTTTTACTATTGTGCCTGAGGCCCTGTGTCTCAGGATTGGTCCTGCCATCACAGAGCATCCATAAAAGTACAAGAAATGAATCACTTGCTTAGTTTACCTTAGTGAAATAGCAGTTCGCTGCACTTTAGTGTACACTATGGAAAGAACTATGGAGGACTTTAGTATTTGTTAATAAAGGCTTTAAATACCTGTTGTGCAGACAGAGTTATACACACATTGGAAGAAACCCAAGCATGGGCACTGTGGCCATTCTACTATCTACCTATATTTCAAACAATGGAAAGGTCATTGTACACCTGGAGGTCTCTCAGTATCCATCTGGGTTGGCCATAAGCCCATCCTTTGTGAGCTCAATTTTATGAGCTCACAATCATGCCTGAACATTTGAAACAGTAACAGCTGTTGTTGAGATCTGGACATACAGTATATCAGGAGGAGTTATTTTTGAAGCAAGCAGGAAGCACATATTCTCCCTAACTGGGAGAACTCTTAACTCTTAACTGGTATATCCAAATCTGTATAGATGATACATGTAACAATTTTTGTTTTGAATTGTGAGGGTTCAGTTTTTGGGGCTGTCTGTTCTTCAAATAAAGGACGAGTCGGTGGAGGTAAATCAAATGGTTCAGTATCTATTGCAACATCAACAACTCCAACAGGGTTCACCCCTAAAAAGGGGTTCAAGGATTCTTGCAACATATTGCTCGGCTTTAACGGGGTCCATAAACCATTTATAAAAGGGTTTGTCGTCTCTGGGTTCCAAGGTCCTGTTAATAACGGCACAGTCCCCTGCCCAGGGTCCAATTCTTCGTCCAGAGATTTCAGCGGTAAAGTCTCTTCATCCCCGCTCCACTCACCCCAGGACGACCCGTCTCCTCCTTCGACTCCCCAGGGACTGGGTAGCCCCCCAACTTCCTGAATTCGGCTATATGCCATTGTTTTTTCCTTTCTAGCTCTCGGGCTACCGCTTCCCTTTCTTCCCGGAGCTTCCTTCTCCACTCCTTGGCCTCTGTCTCGCCCCAATACGAAGGACGAGGCTTTAGCCCAAGCTGACGGCGTTTCTCTGCCTCTTCATGGGGGACTCGGACCTGCTCCCATTTGTGGGTCCAGGGATCCTCCATCCAGATCTACTCCCATCCCCCCGGTATCTCCGCCGGCTTTCCATTTTGGGGGCCTCACATGAATATATAATTTTTTGTAAAAAAAGAAAACGCTTTCTAAGTTAATCAGCAGAAAAGGAAGAAAGCAAACAGTGACTCAGTAAAGGTCTCCTGAGGAGAAAAGGCAGTCCATGAAGTGTGTGGGATAAGATATAGGGTCATCTTGAATCCTTTGGAAGATGCTGAGCCAATATTTACATGAAGCTCTTTTAAGAAAAACTGTTGGAGATATGCTGGGTGTTGATTTATTTTGGCTGAAACTTTCAACATTTTTGTGAATCACCTGGTTGGATTGGACCCAATTAGTTCTGTCTAGGAACTTTGTAGCTTCAACTATGGGGTCAGAATTAGAATAGCTAAGTAGTTTATATGTTAAGGTATATAAATGGTATATCCTATAGTGCAGTGGTGGCGAACTTTTTTGGGTTTGCATGGCCAAACTGGGGGGGGGGGGGACCAAAACATTGTGCGGTGTGCCAGACCCGGATCCTGAAGTGCAGACCCAGAACTGGAAGAGGGAATCGCGGCGGCAGACCTGGAGGACTCAGAACTAGAAGTGGTGGTGGAAGAAGGAATCGCAGCAGGGAGGTGCCTCAAGCCCCCTCTGCTGCCAGCACCAGTTGCTCCGGACCCGCCCACTGAAACGCCAGCACCTGCTGCAGCTGCCTTCTGAGTTTTGCTGGGGGCAAGGGGAGTAGCGATCTGGTGATCTGTGGCTTGTGTGCCGGCAGAAAGGGTTCCACGTGCCAGCTGTGGCATGTGTGCCATAGGTTCGCCATCACTGCTATAGTATTTAGTTCTCTGTGTGTCCTGGTAGAATTTTAAGCTTATGGAAGATGAACACTTCTGCTAGTGTTACCAGCTACTGTCACATTCTTAGCTTCCATGTGAGACCACAGTTTATGTCCTAGGTTTTGCCTTCCAGTGCTGTGCATCTCTTCAAACTTATAAGTAGGAAACATGGTTGATTTTTTGGTCTTGTACTGACCTATGGTGTTCTGAAAAGGGGGCATTTTATAGACATCTTTGTAGTGTTCATAATACTGCTTGAAAGAAGTTGCAGGTTCCTGTGTCCTTGTTTGGGTGGTGGTCCAGTCTGGTTTAAGACTTAGCCAACTGGGTTTGAATGCTCATTGGTGGGTTACTTACTAATTGACTTTGGCCCTATGCTGTTGCCCCTATTGACCTAGCTGGCAGTTGACCAGGACTAGCAATAGGACCACATGAACTGTTGGATCACTCCGTGGTTTAGGTATCTTGCTGCAGATGCAGATACTGAGTGTTCAATTCCCCACTGTGCCTTCTTGACGGGCTAGAATCAATGACCCATAGGATCTCTTCCAGCTGTATAGTTCAGTGATTATGATGATGTCACAGAGAATGTATCTTTATGACTGCATAATCAGATGATGGGCAGGTAACTGAGCTGTAGTCAGTTGTGTACCTTAATTCTAGAATGGTGTTTCTTGATAACCTATGATTCTATGACAATATGAGTGCATAACTGTTTATAGTAACATAAAGAAAATGTTAGCTAATAGGATTCTAAGAGTTGTTATGTTTCTCATGAGAGGAAGAAAGTAGTCATTGTTCACCTGCAGATGTGTATATTCAGATATAAGAGTATAAAACACATATACACTGATCAGCCACAACATTAAAAACACTTGCCTAATACTGTGTAGGTGCCCCTCATGCTGCCAAAACAGCTCTGATGTGTTGAAACATGGACTGCACAAGACCTCTGGACATGTCTTGTGGTATCTGGCACCAAGACATTAGCAATAGATCCTTTTAAGTCCTGGAAGTTGCGAGGTAGGAAATCAAATTTGGTGTTTAAGCACATGCCAATGATGCTCAAGCGGATTGAGATCTGGGGCATTTGGATGTCAAGTCAACACCCTGAACTCTTTGTCATATTCTGTAAACCATTCTAAAACAATTGCAGCCTGTTTTCTTCTCATAGTGCACCCTGCTGCCATCTCTTTCCCAGGTAAATGAGACACACGCACCTGACCATCCACTTGATCTAAAAGAAAACGTAATTCATCAGGCCAGGCAACCTTCTTTCATTGCTCCATGGTCCTGTTCTCATGCTCACATCTTCATTGTAGGTACTTTCAGAAGTGGACAGGGGTCATCATGGACACTCTGTTCATTCTGCAGCTATGCAGCCCCATATGCAGCAAATTATGATGCACTGAGACCTTTATGTCATGGACAGCATTAGGTTTTTCAGCAATTTGAGCTACAGTAGCTCTTCTGTGTTATTGGACGAGATGGGTTAGCCTTTGCTCCCCATGTGCATCAATGAGTCTTGGGCACTCACAACCCTGATGCTGGATCACCAGTTGTCCTTCCTTGCACTACTTTTGATAGGTACTACCCAGTTTCCCCGAAAATAAGACAGGGTCTTGTACAGTGATGCCTCGCTTAACAATTTTAATTGGTTCCGGAAAAAACATCGCTATGGGAAAACATTGCTAAGCGAAACGCGTTTTCCCATAGAGATGCATTGAAAACAGGATAATTCATTCCAATGGGAACGGATTGCCGTCCTTAAGCGAAAATCACCATAGGAAACATCGCTAAGCGAAACGCAGTTCCCCCATTGGAATGCATTGAAACCTTTTCAATGCATTTCAATGGGGGAGAAAAAAATCACCAAAAATTCAAAAAGAGTCCGAACGAAGCCAAATTTGGATAACAAAGGGTTTATTAAGTGCACTAACGATTTCAAGCACTCTAAACCCTTTAAAACAATTTAACACCTTTAAAAAATAGCGAAAATGGAGCTATCAAAAACATCGCTAAGCGAAACGGGACCTAAACTGTCATCGCTAAGCGAAGCAAGGTCCCGAACATCGCTATGCGAAATTCGTAACATCACTAAACGGAGCACAAGATCGCTCCTAAAACTTCATCGCTAAGCGAATACATCGTTAAATGAGGCAATCGCTAAGCGAGGCACCACTGTATTATTTTTTGCTCCAAAAACCGCATTAGGGTTTATTTTCAGGGGATGTCTTTTTTTTCATGTACAACAATCTACATTTTATTCAAATACAGTCATCATCTTCTGGTTGCTGCACAATGGTAGAGGACAGGCTTTCACTTAACTAGGGCTTTTTGGGGGGGGGTAGGGCTTATATTATGAGCATCCTGAAAAATCATAGCAGGTCTTATTTTAGAGGAATCAGGGTAACCATTGCATGCCTGGAAGATTCCACAAGACTTGCCATTCTGGAGTTGCTCTGATCCAGTTGCATAGCCATCACTATTCGGTCCTTGTCAAAGTCACTAAAAAAATTTTGCTTGCCCATATTTCCTGCTTCCAACACATGAAATTCCAAAATTGACTAGAGATGGGCAAGATCCCTTCCCCTACTTCCTCAGCTGGATCCCCCACTCACCAGCCAGCATGCACTCCTCTTCCCCATCCTCTTCGGCTGTTCGACCAGTCTCCGGCAGGAGCACAGGCTTCCCTGCCCCACCCTGGCTGATTGCCCACTCTGATAAGGAGGCAGGACAGGCAAACCTACCGAGGATTTGATCAAACAGCCAAAGAGAAGGAGAGGAGCATGTGCTGGTGGTGAGTGGGTCTTTGGCTGGGTAGGCAGAGGAAGGTGCCACATGTACAAATTGGCACAAACCTCCAAACCAAGGTTTGTACCTATATCTAGAACTGTTTACTTGCTGCCCAATGTATCCCGCCCCCTGACAGGTGCCATTGTAACAATATGATCAATGCTGTTCACTTCACCTCTCAATATTTTAATGTTGTGACTGCTAAGCATATAGTGTGACTGGGGGTGAGATTAGAAAGGAATCCAGCCAGGAGACAGATGACCTAATTAAGTCCATCTAAAGCAGGCATTCAGTCCTATGCACATGTCTTGGTCCAATGGGGGGTAAGGGGGGATATGCTTAGACATGCAGTGCACATGTTCCATATTTGTCACAAACAAGCAATTCCACTGCTTCAAAAGTCACAATATTAAAGTAAGTAGCTGCTCAGTTTGTGCTTACATATAAAGTTTATATAAAGCCTGGTTGCTTTTTTTTAAAAAAAAAGCTCAGTGGCTTGGAGCACCTGGCTGCAGAGATAAGGGTCAGGAGTTTGACTGCTCACTGTGGTGTCCAGGAGAAGAGCCAGCCTGAAGAGCCCTGGGCAAGCCCCATAGTCCCAGAGTGCCCCAGAAGGGAGTGGTATACCACTTCTAAGTAAAAACAGCTCTGAAGAACGTTTTTTAAAGAGCTGTCTTCTCCATCTATTTCCAGTTGCCTTTTAAGATTGCTTTTTTATTTCTCCCTCTGATGTATTTTCAAGCTGAAATAACCTTAAACCATCTAATGCACTATTGATTATCCACCTACCCACAAGCACACACACA